AACATTGCGTTGAGATACACCAAAAAAAGATGCGCCAATCAGATTGCTTAGAGATACACCAAATTGCGCTGATCAGATTACACTACACCACAATACACCAATCTATTCGCTAACATATAGTTATTTTTTTTGAAAAAATAACTCAAAAATGTTAGCCACTTTAGGCATTTTTATTGTTGGTTGAAGGTTTTATTAGTATTAGGAACCATAATAATTATTAATAACTACACAAATTTAATACAATTCCATTGAGTGTAATGTATGGATAAGGCCTAAAATTTCTTAACCTAGAAACTCCTTGAAGAGGAATTTGTTTCTGAATTAGACATCATATTTTCTCAATGATACCTGATAAAATATTGATACATCCACAAAGGGTCTAAATACTCTTATTAAAAAGTACATTAGACTCTGATAAATTAGTAAGGGCACAGCAAGTTACTGCAATTTTGTCTATTGGACCCAAGTCATCACCTTGCCGAGCTGTCACCAGCTGAATAGGGAGTATTCCTTGCAATATAGTGTACTTTCTGCGGAAAAGACCGATTACCCTTTTGACGTGAATTCGGACATTGGCAATTTTTCTGGTTTGCTCCACTTCCTCTGCATACAACTGTTTCTTACCTCTAGTAAATGCTGATATATGAAGGAGAGCTTGATAAAGACCAACAGAGTCAACAATATCAAAGCCCCTGTCCGCAAGCACTATGTCCCCAGGTAAAAGCTTCCCTAACAAAATAGACTTTTCTGTGAGAAATTTGTCACTCACCCTCCCACCCCATGCTTTTGAAATGAATGAGATAACACCTTGCCCTAGCAATTAGGCTGGATGGTCTTTCTATAAAGATCTCAAAGCAGTCAATGATGACTGCAACTCTCTTGCCAAAATTGCATTGGAAAACTACAGGCATGGTGGCTTGCAGTTCCTCACACTTTGGCCGCAGGATTAAAAACTTAAGTGTTATCGACATTACCTGTAACCACCTGTCGAAAATTCTCGATGTGGTTGATAGAGATATATTGAAACGAAAAGCTAAATCCTGTGATGGAGAATTAAGTATAAGTCTAATTAAGACTAAAAGAAACTCTTGAAACTGGCCAGGTGCATTTTGGGTGGTTCCTTTTATGTGAGGAGCAATAATATTAAAATATGCATTAAAAGGTAAAATGTGGGGACTCCTGAATGTATAAAACTTGGTTTTTTTTTGTCATTATTTGTAAAGCTTTCCATGGATAACTGAAGATACAATGGTTGTCCCTTTGTACTGCTTAGCTCATCAGTGATGTGCTGCATGTAGATCTGCTGTCTGTCCAGTTGAGCTATGTCAAGGTCAGTCTGGTAGCATCCCTCTGACAAAACCTTTCTTTCAGTCTGGCAAAATTGGTCATGTCTATCATTATCATTACCATTGTCAGCAAGGTTCATGGCATCATCAATAAGACATGAACCTGAAGTGCCATCATCAATTGAACATGAACCTGAAATGGAAATGCTTGTGCGTGCTGCAATGAAAGATATAAAGGAGCAACTTCAGAATACCCGTCCACATCATTTACATATGTCGGGAGGCTTTGCATCCTCGGAGACCCAGGGGCTGTGAGTCGATTTCAAGTTAAGTGCAAAAGAACCCCTGGGGACATTGTCTTACAAGACTAGTTCCAAACGGTCGCACTCGTTCTGGCATCTGATTGGTGCCAGAAAATCTTTGTGTTTTTCTGCCCAATCAGAGTGAAGTNACTTCACTCTGATTGGGCAGAAAAACACAAAGATTTTCTGGCACCAATCAGATGCCAGAACGAGTGCGACCGTTTGGAACTAGTCTTGTAAGACAATGTCCCCAGGGGTTCTTTTGCACTTAACTTGAAATCGACTCACAGCCCCTGGGTCTCCGAGGATGGAGGCTTTGAAGAATGAGGCATAACACAATAGACGCTATTCTTATTCAGTGACATGGAAATTATGTGGCCGGGTATTCTGAAGTTAGGCCGATATAAATGCATCATATGTCAACTGTATTAATTTCATTTAGTGAAGGCTGTAAAAAATATTCCAACATAGGCTTGTAGGTGGCATGATTGAAAGGCCAAGAACAAGGTTGCTGTAGGGTTTTATCAACACACTTGTCTTACCAAATGCAATTATTGTCTACAATTTAAATTAATTGAAATGAAAGGAATTTGCTTTCTAAGGCAGTGACAACGAGAAGAAAAGAAGTGCCAATATTGTTTTTAGTTAACACACAACACACTCCCTCAAACAAACTTGAAACAAGTGAGCAAGTGTGCGATTTTAGGACTGCATTTGGGTCATGACCCTTGTATAAATTCAGTACACTTAAAGTATACTTTAAGTATACTTACAGAAGTATACTTAAAGTACACAACTTTTGGCCACCTAAAAAGTATACTTAAAAGTATACTTAAAAGTATACTTTAAAGGAAGTATACTTAAAAGTATACTTTAAAAGAAGTATACTTCAAGTATACTTTAAAGGAAGTATACTTCCAGTATACTTTAAAGGAAGTACACTTCAAGTATACTTAATGCATACATGTAAAAACAACTGAAACACAGGTTTAATCAACCGAACATTTATTATTAACATAGAAATGTGAGTTATGCATTACAAATCTGATTAAAAAAAGAGGTTTTCAAAAATATAAAACAGCACCTCTGCTCTGATCATTTAAGTTAATTGGAACTCACTGAATCTGATAATAATGCTGCAAAGTAATATTAATATATATAATCTGTTTAGAAATATATAATCATGAACAGTAACAATCTGCAGTTTTAATGGCCACATAAACTCATAATAAACTCATCTTTCGTTTAGCAATTATTATAACCAATGTACATTGCAAAGACGTATATGTGAACGATCCTTCGCAGTAAAGCACTATTTGAGCACTATTTGAGCACTATTTATGTACTTTCTGTACATTGCAAAGATTAAAAATTCTGTAATTGTCAATCCATTTCTGTATCTAAGACAGATTTTACAACAGGTGTTTTAAGAAGCTATTTTTTCATTTTAATCAACAACTTGGATTGTCTTTTTTTTCCTTAGCATCAAGACAGGTAATTTTGTTCCTTAATGCTGTTTTGACCACACTGTCAGATGTCATATCTGGGAACTTCTTTCTTGGGTAACCTACAAAACTATGAGAAAGACTTGGAGAACCTATTAAATCAAGAACACACCCAAATATGATCCCTGTAACTAATTTCTTTGGGCAACTACTTTTCCAGATTACTTAAACTTATTCTTTTAACTTCTTGTAAGTCACTACCTCTTGTATGTTGTTGATCCCATGCTATTTTCAGTATTACACAGCAAGTAAAGACATTTTTGATATGGGAAAGGTGATCAGAATTAAGGCAACTGCTTTTAGTATTCCTGAACCAATAAGGATAACGAAGAAGGCTTTGTTTTAGCATATTTTAAGATAAATGCTACAAAAGAGAAAAGTTTGTAACAAGCGCCACTGAAAAAAGATAAACTTATTGTGGTTACTATTCCCATCTCAAAAACATCAGCTGTAATTTAGTTCTCTATACTTTTGTTTCTGTGTATGTTAATGCTTACACTTCAAATCACCTTATTGACAACTTCTACAAAAGCTTCTGAAGTTATTAGAAACAAATTTTTGGTCAAAATGTTAAGAATTCGTTCCCAATTGACTGCATTAAGCTGCCCTTTCAAAGACTGGCTCATGCAGTGTAAACATCTTATCATTTACTAAGTATTGTAAAGTATTTATTATACTTACTCAAGATGCTCTCAAGAATGCCTGTATCATACTCCTCCCTACAAGCTCTGATCACCATCATCGCTGAAAAAACAGCCTACCAGAAAACAGGCTGTTGCCGTTTTTTGGTATATGCTTTCATAAGTTGACTGTCATAGATGTAAACAGATCTTCCTGGTGACAGTTCAATCATCTACAAGCATCAAAATACAGTATGTTTTCATTTAAATGTCATTTGATCAATTTTCCCAGGAGTAATGCTCCTAGCACTGACAAAGCTGTTGCCTAAGAAAAATTTTATGGTTCCTGTTTTCAACAGTTAGGAGCCCAAGGCAATTGGTTTAAGAGCCCAGCCTGGGAGTCGTTAAACACAATATTAGATGGGAAGGAAAACTTCAGGGTACAGCATTAGGCAGCATCCTAATGGGGGCAGCATGGCCGAGTGGTCAGCGCATCAAACTCACCATTCATTGCTTCCGGGTTCAAGTTCCACCCTGACCACTACCAGGATTTGTTTCATGGTAGCTCCGAGTTGAAATCCTCACCCACGCTTGTAAATAGTTGACTGGTTTAATCTCTCCGGCCAGTTGGGATTCTTAACAATGTTGTGTTAAATTGGAATTATTGGTTTCAGTTGTCTGCTCATGCAGCCCCACTAGCTACTTAAGCTATAAAAAACTGCCGAGGTTAAATATAGAGACTTTCCTTTTAGTTTATTCAGGACTGATATACATAGAGGGGATTCAATTAACATGTAAAAGAACAATAATTCACAAAAATTGCACTAAATACTCGAATCCAGAAATACTGTGATTTAGCTCAGGCAATTTTATAGGTATAGCTGACCAAGTGCTAAATAAAGTGAAGTGAATGATTCTGGCATAAGTGCCCCCGGGATTGGCTGCTGATAAGTGCATTAATCATTATAAATTTTTTACACACGACTAGGGATGCATTAAATAGATATTCAGCCAACTGCACTGGCGTAACCTTTTACATGAAATTTACTGTTAAGAGTGGTAAGGGCAAGTATAAACGGCTAAACAAACTATCAACGAAAAATAAGGGCAGAAACTCACCACTCTCAATGAGAACTACACAAGGGTAGTACTTTTTGTCCAGATACATTGCTTGAGTTGTTTTGTCTTCCTTTCTCTGCAGTTTGGTTTCATCGACGACGATAAATTTAACGTTGTCTTCAAGAAATTGCACCAGAAAGTATCTATTCGGGCCCGGACCCGCAGTGGGAGGATCTCACGCCCCCCAGTGAGACTGGACTTATGACGGNCAATAGGCCATTTTACAGTTGTGTACTTAGTTGCCAAGCCTTTGATGCAGAGTGAGGTTAAAGCTGACCTTGTTGTGATAGAGACCTGTATCTACTTAGCATGATAACAAAGTGATTTACATTTGAAAGGCAGCAAGGTTTGTATCATAACAAGGTCATCTCTAGCCTCACTCCCATTCAAAGGCTTGGCAACCAAGCACACAACTGTAAAATGGACTATTGCAGGCCAGATTGTCTGTGATTTGAAAAGTTTTAAAAGTATACTTAAAGTATACTTTATTTTCTAGGCTGACCTTTTTGCAAATTTCAAGGTTTAGAAAAGTATAATTGAAGTATACTTTTTCAATTTAAGTATAAATAAAGTACATTTACCACAATTTGCTCAATATACTTCATTTATACTTTTTTTGTTGAAGTCTAAATTAACTATACTTCAAATGTACTTCATTTCTTTAAAGTACAAAAAAGTATACTTGAAGTATACTTTTAGTATACTGAAATTCTGCAAGGGGACAAAGTAAACTTACAAGGTGTTTCAGTCTCGACAAACTCGCTGCTTTGTATAGGTGGTTTGCACGGTAGGTCATTGCCGCCATGTTGGTGGACGTAAACAATAGATATCTCGTTAGCTGCTTTTGTTCGTCCACCAGCATTTGTTCTTTTCACCATTGTAACCTCTGTCTCTAGAGATTGGTTGCAAACCACCTATAACCTCCTCCACACCACTGTCTTGGGTAGTACTAGAGGAAGTTATCTCATCATATTTCTGCTTCGTTTCATTCCTCTTCTGGTCACGAGCATTTCGAGCAACTGCCAGGGAAACAATTTTAATTTTGTTGTGACCAAGATTTATGGTAGGTGCCCAGTCAAGGTTAGTGGTGTCCAGGAGCTCAGCACGTTCTCCTACAAGAAAACATTTATCAACGTCCTATTTCGGTTCTGTCCTGGTGTACCGGTTCACAAGGGAATTACCATTGTTCTTTCTTTGTTTAGGAGTTATCGGCTAGCTATTGTGTATTGTTTGGTCGTTTGTATTGGCTCTTGTGAACCGGTACACGAGGACAGAACCCCTATTTCTTTGTCAAAAGTTCTATTTAGTGATAACAAATCGTTCAGTTAGGTCATTTTTTCAGGCAATTCCCAAGAAATAACTTGGGTTATCTCCTGAAAATTCAAAGATGACAGATCATATGTGCGAACATGTGCGCGGTGATTCGCGATCATTCGGCTATCGTTTGGTTCAGTCGACGATTTTATTCCTTGTGGAAGTTAGGATTGAGTCCCGAGAAGAGTTTAGAAATTTTCCCCAAGAATTTTACATTATCTACTTACCAGAAATAAAATGATTGCTACAAACGCGAGAGTTCTCAGCTTTGTCGTCGTCAAAATCCTTTCTGTAAATATTCGCGAACCACTACTGCCTAAGTTCTGCGGGCTTCACTCGCTTTGCGAATTTCTTCTCCCTTGTTCAATATTATCGCTGGAAACCGGTAAAATTTAAATCTTCCTTTATCTCTTGCACTGTTATGCCCGCAATTCTTCACTGCACAAATGTAACCCTTTGATTAAAAAACACAAAGAACTTCGACAATCATGACCTGGACTGACCTGAATCCCCTTGTTTTGACAACGCGCGACCGGCGGCTTGTCCACCAGCATGGCCGACTTCCGGTTCAAAGGCCATTGCATAATTAGCCGTGACGTAACGTGAAAACGAAGATATGTTTAGAAGCGACGCTGGACAAAGTTTACCTTGTAATTCAGTCTGAACTCTTTTTCCCTAAAGCTCCTGATGAAGGGACAATGTGACGGTTGGGTATGCGCATCAAAACACATCACTTCAGTCGTCCTCCATCTTGTATTTTGAATTTCATGTAAATATACGGCTTGGAACGCATCAAAACTAATTCCTATACTCCTTTTTAGTGATCGACCAAGTTCCTTCTCGCTACATCTTGAACAAACGATACTCTATTTGCGGGTAATTAAGTTGTGAACACTGAAGTTGAACAGATTCTTTACAGCAACGGTAAGAGTTCACTCTCAGCGATAATTTTACCTTCCACATCTGTTTTGGAGTAAGTTAATTGCGAGAAAGCACTCTTTGTAACCTTTTTTTCCTTTTTAGTAGAGGCATTCATAAGAACTATGCTTGGCGTAGTAGTGAGATACATATTAATACCTAAGTAAATTACACCGTGTGCCTTGTTAGTTCCGCATGTAGCTCTTCTGTCCCTCTTCTCTTTCCCAAAGCATTTTCATGGCCTTGGTTACTGATCTTGTAAACAGGAGTTGGTTGGTGAATGTAGCCATCATTAGTCATACTAGTGAGCTATACACTCAAAATTTCAACAAGAGCATTGTATAATTTTTTCACAAAGACAACTTTACAAACTATTATCTTTTGTTTCAGTCCTAGTGATTTCTTACCTCTTCATTCAACGGGGTTTTCCACTCCTGTATGAATTTTTCTTTCAGTGGAATGCCACTTTCTCATATTTGGGCAGCAACAAATAATGTGCGTGATAGGGAACTGAGTGTTGCGGAAGTGGTTCTGTTGGCCCGAGTGCTCTGTTTTGCCAAGGATTATAAACAATTTGCCCAACAAATCACAGTTAGTCAGTCACAACACTCCTCTTAGGGTACTCAGTGGGAGTATTTCATTGGAATTGTCATTAGTCTGTTCTGTTGCTCTGACTATTATGGACTTGCTTTCATGTATTTATTGAACTACCCTATTATAAAGGGGAATAGTTTTTTTTTCCCATCTGGAAACTCGATTTTTCTCTTCTATTAAAAATAGTTTTTAAGTCAGAATATGTACAATCTATAATACTCAGTGTCACAAAGCTGTGGTTTTCAAGGAAAGCCCCTATAATAAATAGTCTGAGAATCGTTTAGATGTACCGTCGAACCTTGATTATCCACGCTCATTGGGACCAGACGAAATAGTCAGGGTAATCGAAGGTTCGGATAATCGAGGGTCCGGCTAGAAATTTTTTAAATAAGCTTTTGCTTGAGATTGCACGCGTATGATTGTCAAGAGAATTCCATAGAGATGATAACCGAGAATATGAATGTTAACGAGACATAGAAGGCTTTATAAAGCTGTTTATTATGTGCAGCCCCGCAGCGATTTACACTACAGTCCTTCACTGATCTTTAAGTTTTCGGCAAACTTCATGATCTTTTCTTTGCGCGAAATTATAGACTGTTCATCTTTTATCGAAAGAATAGATCGCTTACACCCCAAGAACGTGATGATCGCGAATAAACATTTACGACGCTGTGTAGCTTGTTTCTCCTGCTAACCACGTCAAGCGAGCTAATAGAGCGTGAATTCTCACCTAGTCATTAAAGCAACTCCAAGCCAAGATTAGTTGCCAGGTGTGCGAGTGCTGCTTTTGCTTTTTGAAAGCGAATCAAACTCGTGCTGTGGTTTAGAAAAGTGTATGGCTACGGGTCTTGATCGTGATTGATGGATATTCGCAACAAAATTGGGACCAAACAAAAAGTCTGGATAATCGCGAAATCCGGATAATCGAGGTTCGACTGTACAGGCATTTTTCTGATTGTAAAAAATACAGTTTCCCCTCAGTAACTCTAACTGGCAGTTTAGACCAGCACAGGCTAAATAGTAGAAAATTACGTATATGAGCACGATCCTTCGCAGTAAAGCACTATTTGAGCAATAGTGAAAATCAGACCTGAAAAAAATTTCAGGCCTGTACGGGATTCGAACCACTGACCTCTGCGATACTAGTGCAGCGCTCTTACCAATTGAGCTAACAAGCCAACTGAGAGCAGGCCATCAAATTAAT